CTGATATTTGCCTTGTAACAAATCCATCACCTATTCTAAAATCAAACAAACAAAATATGTTCCGTATCATTAAGCTCATGAAAAAAAATCGTGCTGGTTCAAATCATAGATTTAAAATATTTGTTTTCTCTTTGTGAATTGTAGGATATTTTTTATGATTTTGCATTCGAAAAAAAAATCTGTTCGTTCGTTAAGGGTTCTATATTTTGAGTTTTTAATTGATTACTTTGTGTAGGTATCCACTTTTGAATTTATAAAGATGACAACGCAATTAATCACAGTTTGAAGTTTATGCAGTTGGTACTGATGAATGTAGGTATATATCTTATTACCTACTCTCGGATATATATACTCCGATATTACTCTTAGGTCAGTAGTGTTAAAGAAGGATCTACACCTACTCAAATAAACACCTCACCTATTTTAAGTATTTTTAAGGTGCAATTAATATTTTTTCTTAAACAAGGGTTTGTTATGTTGATTATCAATAAGTAAAAATGTCGAAGAGTGTATAACGTTGTGATTTAAAGATAAAAAAATAAAGACTGACTGATTATAATGACGTTTTCTTTATTTCTCCCTCAAAACATAATTCTTGTAAGGAAGTTTCTTTTTCGGTTTCGGCCGAAACTGAGACCGTTACCGAAATTCGTTTTCGGTTTCTGTTTCGGTCGTAAAAACCAGTTTCGGTCGGACACTAGTTGGAGCATCTTGCGTTAGCTGTCGAACTTTGAAAAGTCCAAATGCGGGAAATTTTTTTGAGTCCTGACGAATTTGCAATAAAAGCGGAATAAGCAATACAAAATTTGCAACAAAGAAATCGGGGTATATACTTTTGGCGCCAAAGTCTTATATTAGTTTCCTCAATCGTTCTTTTATCTAGACTAATCTAGAGCAAGAAAGCAGTACATATGCCCCGTTGGAATGACTTGCTCTTGATTTGTGGAGGCAAGGATGTAGGTCGGTTCTTGATTTTTCATAGAAAACCAATTATAAGTGCTAAAAAAGGTTTTTTTTGGACGCTATCAACAGTTCGCTTCCAAAAATACCTCCCTTTTCAACACTTGTCACTGCAGACCAACTTAGTTGCACTGTGATAGGATACACTTCAAAAATACCAATAAAATAAAGAATACGGTCTACTTGAGTGTTGAATATAAATGCAAAATTATTATTATTCAACATAAATTGTCACTGGATAAATCAGAGTGAATAGAAAAAATAACAGAGTACAGTGTTTTACCCTAAGGTTAAATGCACTAAACCTTACAATTTTTGATCGAAATCCTATTTCTAGAAACTATCAGGGAAACTCAAGGCTTTTGTTTTACACTCCTCCAGATAGACTCCTTTGATTCTTGAGATCTGGGATTTCGACAGTCTCCAGCAGTGGTCATCTCAGACCTACACTTTACAGTGCAGCCAGACACTTCCAGGACGATCTCGTTATGTCAAAATTTATTCCAGTTTTCATGCTATTAGAGGTTCTTACACTTTGATTTGTTCGAACTTGTATGCGTTTTATGTTTGCGCTTTTTATGTTTGTGTCCTTTTTATGATTTTGCGTAGCAGAATTCAGAAAGTTGGAATTTATTCTGCAACTAGTCCAATGGAGCTTTCAGACGAAGAGCGGGAGCCTCCACGTCTCGGCAGACGAAAGCTCTCATGTCTCCTGCACCTCGAGCCGGGAAGCTACGTCTTCTCCTCAAAATTCAAAAGAACCAATAGGGGCTTGAATATTTTGCTTTAATTTGACACTATTGACATGATTGTTCTTCTTCTAGCATACTACTAACCTGAACTCCGATCTAGCATTCTAGGCGGTGTTGCCAATATATGAATTAGAAACAAATCCCTTTGAAAATTAAAACTCAACATTTGAAACATCAATTTGAATACTTTTCGAAGTGAATTTGAAGATGATCACTTGGTGATCGAAACACGTGTCGAGGTGTTAAAAATAACGATTTGGTGTTGGGGAAAAAACTTCAGTAATATGAATTTGAAAAACTCATGAATTGAACTCAGTTTTATTTTGTTCAAACTTGCATTTCCTGTAATAACCCAAATTGAGGAACATTCCCCATTAAAAAGGGTTCCGGTGTGAATGGGCGGTACGTAAGGGTGATAAACGCTCCCGTATAGGAGTTAATCAAAATAAACAATGTGGATTATTAATAGACAGCAGACTCTTCAGAGGAATCCCAGATCTGTGATAATAGAAAATAACATTTTTGAATAATTGGTATGTTATAAAATCTACAATGCATAATTGGCATAAAATAATGATAAAAAACTCTTAAAACAAGCTTTTATTTAAGTGCCCTAAAAAAATCTGTTCAAAATCTATTTTTCCGTTAACCAGCTGTCGCACCCCTACGAACGACAACCCTCAAAAGTCGAAACTTGGGCGAGCTAAGGATTAACAAGGTCTTACCTTTTAACGTGTGATTCCTAACACGGGTTGGACGGTAACAAGTGAAGATCGATCGTTCAGACTAGGGCTTGAACACCGACTAACACGGCAGTCAATTCGAGTGAGAGAACAAAGCACCCACGCTGAACCGCTAGGCTACCGACCGACGGCTATCGAAAAAAGATCAAAATAAAATTTTAAATCATATTAACCATATTCAAATCCACTTTACAGAATTGAAATCGCGATAATTTCAATTTGTAATTGAAATTTTGTAATTAGGTAGGCACCTACTAAACTTGTAAGCAATTCATAATGTTTGTAATTAAAAGTGCCGTGAATGCTCAAAATGTGGAACTTTAAACTTGAATAACTTTTTTGCACACATAGGATTTATCGGGTTTGGAATTTATTGCAGTACCTATTTAATCTGTTAGAATGTTTCTTAATTTGAATTTCATCTGACTGAATATGTAGAGATTTCTTCTAGGCATCGCGACAAGCTTTTATTATAATTTCATGGATGTGGCATCTATTTCATGGTGGGCCTACCAACTGCCTCGCATAAACGAATGCGTATACAAAATTTCGTGTCCCTGCTATTCACCGCTGAGGAAAACTCTCGTGCGGAGCCGATCCTGGCAGCAGCATTGGTTCACGTTTATGATTAACATGCATTGTCATCGGTTCTGGACCAGCATGCAAAATTTCAGGTCAATCGGATACCGAGAAGTGGGTCAAATTAAACTTGAAAGATTTGTTAACATACATACAAGTCAAGTTAAATGAAAGCTTTCAATTAAAAATGGGGTTCCTTTGTGTTCACATTGTTCGTGAACAGTATAAAATGAAACGTATTAAAAAAACGCACTCTCAAGTGGACATCTTATTTGAAATGTATTGTTTTGAATACGTTATAATGGATTTTCATCAAGTATCGGTCAGTTCTATCATATTTTCATGAAATAAAAATTGAAAAATGGGATGTTGCAAAATATGACAAATTACAGATGTGTGTATGCCAGAAAACTGTGTTTAACGAAAGTGTGCTTCATGGATGCTATGGTGATCTCGATATTATGTTATTATTTCCATTATTACTATCACTATTATTATATTATTCGTAGTTGGTAACTAACCTATGAAAACAATAATAGAATAGTTTGAATAAATAATATTATTGTTTTCACAGTAAACGTACGAAGAGGTGAATTTGCAAATTCTAAACGTTTTGATAATGCACTGTAGGTTAATTAACACGCTTTTATTAGCTTCATTTGTATGTTTGTTTGAAATCGAATCCTTTGGACTCGATTTTGACTGACTTCAAACGGACAGATGTATTTTATACCGAAATCGGTGACAATATAATAATTACATAAGTTTATCTCATTATAAATTGATGGATGTTGCCGTTACTAGGTGGTACGAAATCATAATGAAGAAATGAAAATTGAAACTTTCTATGTTTTCCACCACTTATATTTGTAAGTAACGTTACTACAGTTTCGTCCTATAAGGGCATTTTCAATCTTATTGTATATTATGTTTATTGTATAAGTTTGAAAATGTCCTTATAGGACGAAACTGCAGTAACGTTAGTTACAAATAAAAGTGGTAAGAAAGTTTCAATTCTCATTTCTTCATTATCTCATTATCCTGATCAGGATCGCCGTGATTGAATAATTTCTTTACACAGTCTGTGTGTGTGTGAGAGCAAGTGAGACAACTACACTGTTTGTGCATGCATATATGTTTAATTTAAAACAAAGGGGCTTGACATAGTAAGCCAAACTGAAAAGTGGAAAATAAATAATAACTTGAACTGAAAAACACGCTTCAATAGCAACACGAACTAAAAAATTAAAAATAAATCGAATTTCAATGTTCAGAGATGTCCGTCGGTAAGAATAAGACTATCATATCTGAAATCTGTCTATTTCAAATCCTCTGAAGGATATCTTATTAAAGTCTTTTATATCCAAGGATATTCGCTATCCTTAGTTGATTCAAATATATAAGGCTTTACTCTTCCTTTCTTCGGATTGTTTCCTATTCTTCAGATATCAGTGTAGAATTAACAAACTGAAAATATAAGTTTATCAAATGATCATTGTTTTGAAATAAGAAGAAACATACGGGATCAAATAGGGTTTTTCGTTAATTAGTTGTTGTCCCTATACGAACGACATCCTATTATTATTATTTGGCGCATACCATGTATCAAATTCAATTTATTTTCAGTTTTGAACATTCTGTAAAATGAGTTGCATATGCAACAGTAAGAGGTTTTTCTTCGTCTATTTAGTTTCGCCACCCATTAGTAGATGGCGTTTGCATATTCTTTCTACTCCGTTATTTACTCCATTATTTTCCAATAAGAAACATTTCTAACAAACTGTTGAATGCTTAATTTCAAAGTGTCAACTCACTGTATTTTCTACATGCCTGAATTTCTCATAAGTACCATCTAGATACATATCATTCCATAGTCTTCTTGGATATTGAAATTCCTAGTTAATAATTTTGAAATATTTCTATACTTTAATTTTGTAATAGTTTTTGTAATATTAGTGTTGAAAAGAATTTATATTTTGACAAGGGACACGAACTTGGAACCATACAATACTTGATTGAAAATTTATCGATACTATCATGTCTTCTATCTTCGTAATATCAACACCTTTCCAAATAATTTTTGTGAACTGCATTCTGATATCTCTGAATACATATTTCTTGAATGAATGCTCACCTTAAATTTATCAACTTTCTGTATGACGATTTTTTGGCTGTAACGAAAGCCATATGGTCCACAGTGTATCTTATGGGAATCTCATCGATTTTGAATCTGCATCTGTAGTTACTGATATTCAAGAGCTGCTTCCTTGCCAAGTGACTGGACGCGAAGAATCCATAACTACCTCTTGTCACTCTCATGAGTCCTTCGGAAATGTTGTTAACGTCATTCTCCAAGTACCCTCTGAGGTAAATGTGGTTCAGCTGTGATATGTTCATCGACTGAAAAATAAAGAATAAAGAAATTTTGATAATATGTGTTGTTGACTAGATCATTTTTTTGATAGGCAAGATTTTCGAAAGACAGAAAATGCATCTATGAGAAAAATATATTGAAGTTCTCTATTACTAATTTCTATTTTATATTGTGGAAGGTAAATTGTCCCATAAATGGCCAGTAAAAACTAGTTCATTATTAAAACTGATTAATACAGTTTCTTGTATGATTTTCATTTTAAAGTTTTTCACAAAAACCGCGACACGTGTTTCGCTATACAATAGCTTCCTCAAGCGTTAACTAAAAGTTACTTCTGAATTACAACTATTTTATACTCTAACTCTAACATATTACCTACTTTCTTAATCTAACTGAAAGGGTCAGGTATGAATTCATATCCTATATGAAATTTTTTTTCCAAAGTACCGTAAATATACTCAATATTTTTACCTGGAAATAAACAGATTCAATAATGGTGAATTACCCAATTCAGTTTGATCGTTCATAAGATTGAGAGTTTTTCAATTCGTTTATTTCCATTCTCTCCAACAGGTTAGGTTTCAAACCTTTCTTCTGGAAATGGAGGGGCTTGAATTCATGGTTGAACTCATGTCCCTCTGTGATTAAAAGAGTGGTATATGTGGAATTAATTTTTTCATTCCGGAAACTATTGTTATGTTCCTGGATGCTGACTTTGAACCTCTTCCAGTTTGACCCATATAGAACATCGGACATGATAATTTATACACCCCCGATTTTTCTGAAACTTAACTTTTATCTTTGTTATTCTTGATGTGAATGCCTCAGTTATTGTTGGTTTTGAAAGCAATATTCATTGTTGACGACTATTGGTTTCCTTATGTTCAGTTCTTAATAGAAATTCGCCTCTGACAAGGGTACATTTACCAGTCTGTGGATCATACTGTTGAAAGCTGCTACTTTGTGCTGATACCGGTGGGTGGAAGAATTATGAATGATAATA